ATGCTAGTGCAGAACCCATAATTCCCTGTAAACATTAGTTATCATGCTCATGAATTAGTTAGTATTAATTAATTAGCTAATCTAATGATTAATAATTGAAGAATAAGTTTAAGCAAGAGAAGAGTTAGTGCATACAGCATAGAGGGATGCAATAAGCCTCGTGGGATCTTTTAGCCACCATGAAGCCACTTTGTGATCAGCAATTACAGCAATGATCCCGCACTCAAAGCTGGCCATCAAACACATCAATGTGGTGCTTGTATAAGGAGCTGGAAAGCTTTCCCCAACTCTAGCCTGAAATTATATTGGAGGACGGGAACAGCTAATATTTGATTTCAACAACGATAAAACAATTCCCAATATATATTAGCGTCTATAGCTATAATTTAACCAAATAAAATTGTAGCACTAATTTTAGAGTCTATTTTTGTTCATCACCCGTAAATGGTGACAATGCTCATCACAACATTGATTGTCATCAGACGAGTACATATCATTCCTATTTCTATACATGCCGAAACTAATAAAACACGAAAATGCAAGAGGGTGATGATGATCAGTTACTTGGATTATGAACCAGAATGCCCAACCTAAGGTGCTTAAGATGACAAATAGGGGGCCTATAAAGGAGCTTAATTTGGTGCTGGAACTTGTCTCTCCCATTCTCTGAGCATATGTCCAGTGAATTTTGGACTCACCTAGACCAATGATGTGTCCATGGTAAAATGAAAGTAACATGGCTCCAGATACACACACAATTGTTCCCATCACCTTAGATAGCCCTGCTTTGCTCTTGAGCTTTGCTGCAAAATTAAATTAAACATTCCAAACATAACTAATAACTAATTAAGCTAAAAAGATAACATATTAATTAGTACAAAGTAATACTATATATAGTACCTGAAAATGACTGCAAGGATAAACGCCATGGCTGGAAGTGTGTTTGTCAATGCGCATGCAATCGTTGCGGTCGAAGACTTTAAACCGAGAAAATAAAAAACCTGATTTGCAGTGGCCCTGCTTTTTAATTCATGTTAATACACTTCATTAAGTGAATTAACTGTTTTGCAATGATGCCCATCTGCATGTACAAAATTATGGAAGGTTGGAAAAGCACAGAACGCCAAGTTTCTCACCAATGAGCATACCCAATGAACGTTGGGTTGCTTGTATTTATAATACATTAGAGATTACATTCAGGGTTTGAAAACCCTATTTACAAGGAATATTTGAAATTCAAATATACACAGATAAGAGAGTTACGCAGCTACAAACATATGACAAAGTCATAAACCAACTGTTTGAAGATAATAATTAGAAGACAACTCAAACACTTGAACTGGTGTTGACTTTAACTGAATGAGGACTTCGTCTAACACTACATAATATATTTCATATTATTAAATTAAGAACAAATTAACACACTTACCCAGTTAATGAGCACAAAAAAGTCTGGAAAAGAATAGGCAATGTGATCTTGGGTCTTGTTTTCCTATTAGAAATTAAGAAAGAACGTATCAAACATGATGTTGTAAAGAAACTTTCTCTAAATTGTAATGAGAAAATTAAAGAAACTGGTATTAAGAATTATCATATTCTTCTTTTTCTCCTTTTATATTATTGTTAAGAAAATACTTGCACACCACCTTATTCACTCTTTTGCAACCGACGTATTTACCAGTAAAATTTTCATTATGGAGACCATTTATTCTTTTAATATGATCCATCTATAGATCATCATCTCTATTAAGTAATAATTAAATTGAAAAATCAATTTAGTGATTTGTATGCATAAAGCAAATAGACATTGTTGGTACTAAGTAACATTCATGTACTTTGTATATTTTTTATGACGTAGTCACGTAGAGGTGAACATAAATGATGATTAAGAACATAAACGAGTTTGATTATAATATTTGTTTAATTAAAGTACATATATAGCAAATGGTGGACATGTGTTGCATCAATGCATCCCATGGGTGGATGCTTAAGCCTTAATCTTATTGATTTACCAGCTATGTATATTAAATAAGATTACTAATAAAATAGCATGCAGCCATGAGAGGTCGGAACCAAGCTAGTAAGTATCTATGGCCTAGAGCTAAGCAAAGAAGAAGGAAGGGACAAATGGTTAAACATGACATGGCAACCATGCAAGGGTGCTGCCACCTTGAGCCAGTTACGAGTGGCACGTTAAATTAAGCCCCCAAAAAAGACACTGCAAAAGAAAGTTGACACACTTTTCATGCATGGCTGGCTTTCTGCGTTTATTGCGTGCCTAGCTCAATGACAAAATCAGACCTAATTAAATACGTTCACCAGAGTTTTTCAGAATAATAGAAAAATCCAGGCCAAGACTTATCATATATATTGAAAATTTGAGACTATTTGACTCAAATAAACTAAGCAACTTACATGCACGAGACAAAAAATTCCATTAAAACTTGCGTTCGACAGAAGGAAAACATTCGACCACAAAAACCAGATAGAAAACAAAATTTTAGAAAGAGCCCTTGGTGATTGAAATCAAACTCAAACCCTAAGAGAATTTAGTGACATGCAACAAGACTAACAGATGTTCACTTTACCATTCCAACAAATAAGCTAAGGGAGCAATGGCAACGGCCGCGAAAACTTGACGATAAGCAACAAGAATAAGAGGGTCCATGTCAGATTCAATAGCAAGCTTTGAAATAATCCTCATTCCTGCATAGCTCGATTGGACCAACACCATAGCCATGAATGGCATGTAGGCGCTAAAGGCAGCCATTTCTGCAGACCCCTAGCTACTTGTAATTTGTACTACAGAGAGAGGGAGAAATCGAGAGAGAGAGAGAGAGAACTCCCTCTCCTACCGTCGAGGTTTTTCTGAAGTAAATAAGACACACAGAGAGACAGAGAGAGTGGCCAAAGTATTGAAGAGAGAATGACAGAGATCGGAGAATGAGAAATGTGGAGGGCAATATCGAGCTAGAGAAAAGATGAGAAACAGAAAGTAGAAGAGAGTTTTGCGTGGAAATAAGAGAAAGAGACGTTGAAGATTGATTTCTTGTGCATGGCTACACATCTAATGTGCTGCCACTACCACATAAAGACGCTTCAGTTTTTGTCTTTTGAACAATTATTAGGTAAACGTCACCCAAAATTGAGGTTGGTATGGGCGCGATTTCAAAGTACCCATTGGAAATTCCTATGTCACGGTTTCTTTAACGTTTGCATTCGAATCCCGATATCAGTTTTGTTGTTTCTAATACTGCTGAATTTGTTCAAATGTTATTTGAAAGTACCCATTGTAACTTTTCAATGTCGCACCTTTTAAAAAAAAGTTAAGGTTATATCATAAAATCAAATAACAATATAGAAAGTAAGTTAATATATATAAGCACATGCAAGATTTTTCATTTTTTTTGGTGTGGGATTGATACTCAAAACAGTCTCACTCACGTGTGGCAAATTTTTCAACCTAATACGTAGACAACACAAATCGTGTGACGTGGATCACATGTGGCCGTTGGATTTCAACATGGGAAAACCTAGCTCTGGTAACATAAAAAAAGTTGAGGCTCCATTATAAAGTCAATTGACAATATAAGTAGTAGTTGAACTACCTATAAGCACATGCAATTCCTTCATTTTTTTTCAATGTGAGATTGATCTCTCAAATACAATTTCATTAACGCAAACTCAAGTTCCTGTGTTCGGTTTTCTCCTCCCCTGCCAGATGTATGTGTATTGAAGTGTTAGGAAATTTATAAATGTCAAATATCTAAGAACTAAGAAGTATCTTCTTATTCAGCCATCTAGCCCATGCTTGCGGTTTGGTACCTCTATCACCAACCACGAATTTCATTCACATTCTGACATCAACCGCGAAGAGTGCATGTATTAACTCTACTTAAAAGGCATAACCGGTATTAATAAGCGTATCCACCAAAGAAAATGTTTAGCTATAACTGCAAATATGCCACTTAATACTACGATCTAATGATATTCTTCTTTACTTAAAGTGAAGGTCTTGCATTTGATTCTTGCCAAAGATCGATGTATTTGAACCACATTCCCCACTAGTGTAAATAATATTATTTATTAAAAAAAAATTGCAAATAGCACATTACGTTCCTATAATGTGTTGGGCCTATGAGTATAAATTAGGGACAGTCTCCTTAACATGAGGAACTGGTTGGCATGAGTATATAGTGTTTATGGCAAAACAACACCAAAAAGCCCTTTTTTCCTCATAACCCAGGAGTGGATTCGCAATTTGCCCCATTCAAGATGAAAGAGCAGATTAACCATGTACTACCGGATGTAAGCAAATAACTCCAAAGCAAGAGTGTAAAGGGCAAAATCAAACCATGGAATTCATGCATATATAATACCAAAAAGTTTTTTTTTTTTAATCACAAATGGTCCTTAAAAATTTGACCTACCCCATCGAAATGGTCTCTGAAATTGAAAATCGATCAATGTAATCCTTGAAAATGGATGTCAGAAATCAATGTAATCATTCCGTCACAATTCCATCAATTTTTTTTGTTATGTGCTAATGTAGCATATAACTGAGTTCCACATATGAGTGGGCTTATGTTATTTTATTTTATTTTGGTTTCGTTATTTTATCCATCATTTTAGATTTTTATTAATAAAAATATGACACTATAAAGGAATAAAAAAAATCAAATTCTTAGTGATGCCGCATCAATTGGTTTCTGCAAATTGTTTCTATAAATTGAATCTTCCCAACATTAACCTTAACCTTAGTAGAAACATCCCAAAACGTGGGCAGTTAATTTAGCTTTTATTTGAGAGTTTTAACGAAAAGCCTACGGTACTGTTCACTTTAACGAAAAATCACATTTTTACACTAAAAAGTCAAACCTGGTACTATTCACTTTACCCTTTATTTTGTCCTTATCATTAAAACTCAAAGTTTTCAAGCCCTTTTCATTAGTTTTCCTTTTATTTTAACCATTTTAGCCCTAGTTCATTAAAAAAAAAAATTTGGAAAGAGTCTGTCTGTAGCAAACTCCCTTAACTTTTATTAAAACAAGCCCAAAATTACAAGCAAACCAAAGATCCTACTTACAACTATACACAACCAAAAAAGGGCCAAAACCAAAAGAAAACCAGAAAGAGGACCCAACAACAGTAAAGCCCAAAAACACACAACTGCCGAGAAACTTCTACTAAAATCTCCTCCACCGACAGAGATCCATACCAGCCAACTATAGCGTCTTCCATCACCAAGTATCGCCGCCGCAGACACCACCGCCACCCCCGAACAGCAACCCGATCACAGCCATTAACAAGAGATAGTCGGCACCAAAGAAGGATTAGCCAACTACCAAGAAGAAGCTCGGGGAAACCCACGAGCAACACTGTCGAAAACGACAGACAGCAAGGAGAAAGTGGCGGTGTTGGAAATACCCGAGCCAAGAAAAAAATCCAAACTCTACACACGAACTCAAGAGGAAAAGTGGCTGAAGATCGGACTGAGGGAGGGATGGGAGAGGGATACCGACGGGAATAAAAGAACAGGATAGGCCAGAGAGAAAATTGGGGAGAAACATTAGGAGAAGCGAAAAGAAAAGAAGGAAGAAGAAAAGAGGAAAGAGGAAAGAGGAAACGGCAGAAAAGGGGAAAAGAGGAGAAAACAAAAGAAAGAGAAAATGGGCGACCGACTCCAGCCAAAAGCTAGAGTCAGCCCCAGAAATGGTGGGCAAGATGGAAACCCTCACAAAAAATGGGAAGGACTCTCACAGAGAAGGAGAGAAGCTCTCTCACGGAAATGAAGGTAAATACCGCAAGGTGAAGAAAAAATCCAATGTCAATAATGTGTTTGTTCAAGAGGAAAAGACCAAGAGAGGTTCTAAGTTTGCTAGTCCTCAGCCCAGGGAACCCCATGTTTTGCCCAGAGATAGTAAGCTCCAACGGGACCTCGACCCCCCAACTGGTACAGCTCCGGTGCTATATTTTTCTTGTCTATCTCATTCAAAACTGGAGTTAGAATGTTCCACGCAGCGGCAAGCTCGTCGCTTCTCAGAAAGAGGTGGTTGTCTCCGTCAATGACATCAAGAAGGAGATGCTCATATGAATCAGGCACTTCCACATTATACCTGCCATGACCAATAAGAAGCACATGAATTTAAATGATACCAAGTTACCAACTATAATTGTAGTAAAACAAGAAAATATTAGAGTGCTTGCTTATCCTTGTAGAGCAAATTCAGTTCCGGAGAATCCAACTGCAACCCCAATCCCGGAATCTTATTGTTAACTCTGACTAGGATGGCCTCATCGGGGGTATCACGCAGAATCAGCTCATTGGTAGCACGGTCGATGTTGTGCCCCATACGCTCACGATAAAGATTTCCTGGAACATGACGAAACTGTATACGTATCTCCACTCTGCATTGTACAACTTGTATTCAGTAAGAAGATTCGAACTTGTTAAGGTAAATCTTATCTCATCACTAATCAATTTACACCGTAATTAAGCTAGATTTCTAACTTCCCTGGACATATATATGGCTCTTAACATAAACAGAATATTCTAACCAGTATAACATCCTAATGTTAAATCTGCATTTTATGTAACCATCGAACTCAGAACATTCGGAAGTGGGCTATAAATGTTTTGACTAATATAATAAAGTTTTAGTATAAAGAAGCACTGAGATAGATGCAACCTGTGTTGGATGAGTCCCATGCCGGCTTTGATCAGGAAAGGCACGCCATCCCAACGTGCATTGTCAATGTACAATGCAGCAGCGAAGTATGTGGGTGTCAGGCTGTTCGTATAAACATCAACCTCATCCTTAGTACTCCCTTTATATTGACCAAGAATAACATCACTGGGCTCCAATTTCCGAACTGATCTCAGAAGTTTGGCCTGAAAGGAAATAGCTAGTCATAAGAAACACTATCGGCATTACAAATCAGTATAACAAGCAAGTACCTTTTCATTTCGTATATCTTCCCCATTCAGACTTATTGGTGGTTCCATGGCAAGCAATGCTATTGTTTGAAGTATATGACTGTGTACTACGTCACGAATGATGCCGTAACCATCAAAGTACCTTCATCAAAAAACAAGAAATGAATTATCATAGACGGTTCTAATTGCATTAATATGTATTAAAAGAACAACGATACAGCCATCAGGATTACTTTCCCGCTTGGACACCCAAGTCTTCTGATAAAATGACCTGCAATACGATCCAAGTGTTTTATATACATCAAAGACATCAGATTTCATTAGATGAATATACTATTGAGATAAGTTACCTGTACATTGCGTATGTATGTACGGCTCCACAGCGGCTCAAACACTAGATTAGCAAACCTTAAAACTGTGAGATTTTCGATGAGGTTCCTTCCTAAAAGATGATCAATCCTGAAATAAGAGACTATCAATACGAGAATGGACAGCACTAATCATCTGTGTCAGTGTGATGTGTGGAAAAGACAAACGGAGTGCCAAAGACCTGTAGATTTGTTTTTCTTCAAACTTTGAAAGAAGAGACTGCGTCAACCGATGAGATGATAATACATCAAAGCCAAAGGGTTTCTCAACAATTACACGATTCCAGCCCTTCAGGGTTTGCGCATTATCAGCGATTGAACACGCAACATTTATAAGTGCTTCTTGCGGCACGGAAAGGTAAAATATCCGGTTTGCTTCAGATTTTCCCTGCGGTAGGTTAACTGTTAAAGAACCAATTATCAAAAGCATCCACCTAGTAATTTCAAAAGTCATATAAGATCCACATAAGACAAGAAATTTTTTCTTAATATCTGAGCATAAATTCTACCTCGAACTGCTGCATCAGCACATTGAGCTTTGACATCCCTTCTCTGTTGTCATAGCCTCCATTAATGTAGTGTGTTCGACTAAGGAAGACATCCATTTTGTTTCCACAGTTTTCTCTGAGAGGAAAATTGGAACGTACTTACCATGGTAAGCTAAATATTCAGATAAATTTAAGCCCTTTGTGGATGGATCCAATTAAACAAGAAAAGAATTTAAGACTAGAACAGATGGCATGGAATTTGTGGTGACACAAGAAGCATACTGATGGTCGATACGACAAGTCAAAGTTGAAGCAATCATTGATCTCAGGTCTTCATCTGTCATATCCTTTCTTGAATAACCAAAGATACTAACATTCTGCAAGCCAATTTTAAAAAAAGTGAGAAACCGAAACCCCTTTCATTTATTGAAAAGTCAAACAAGTTTGGATAACTTTATTCTTCACCAAACAAGATCTTCAGTGTACATACCAATGTTATATTTACTTTTATGCTAAAGGCCCAGCTTACATAGATATCAAAGTCATCATACCTCTGGAAGAAAGCCGCTGTAATACAGAGCAAAAAGCGCTGGGAAAATTTTTCCCCTTGCCAGTTCGCCAGTTGCTCCTATGACCGCAATACAGAGTGAGGCTTCTGCACCACCCTCAATGAGAAACTCGGAGGAATGTGTTTGTGGTATGGAAGGAGATTCTAAGGAAGTAGTAGGCCCTGTTACAGAATCATGTGGTTTGGAACTTGGCAAAGAACTTTCTTCAAGTTGCAAAGTTATTTTTGTAGTTCGATCATTGGAATCTGCAGAGACACAAGTAGAATCTAAAAAGATTTCACCATGGAAAGAAAAGATAAGTAACTGAAAAATACCAATTCTTATATTACTAATCCTCAAGGACCTCAACCAATTATAGAGCATACCTCCATGTGGTAAAGTCGAATAAGAATGATCCATTAAGTGATCTTTGACTTCATTTTTTATGCTCTTATACTCATTTGTAGGTCCAATTTTCCTCTTATGATGTTGACTCTGTAGGTTTTCTAGTATCCATCGTTTTAAGCCACAAAATTTCCGGCAGAAATGGTGAGGCCCTCCGTGGAGCACAACTCGCCCACCTGGCCCAGAACGGAAGAAGTTTGCTGGAGCCTACATACAACCAAACAGAAACAAAATTCCTTAGTTTCATTTCTTTTCATGCTTTATCTGTGTTCATCTTTCACATTTGTACAGATGAAACCCGGTCACGACAGACCTGAAAAACCTAGGATATTACGCTCCCGGCCCGGCCCCATTCCTTCTTCTGGCTAATTAAACAGAATGAAGCAACTAAACACGAGACCAAATATCCTCACAAAATCCCTTTTTTCAGTTTCTTATTCCCTCTAGAATCTAAGGAGACCAAATATGATTCTTTTCATTTTCAAAGAAAACCAGATAAATACGCACCAAGATTAGAGTAGAATAGACTAGTTTAGAATATCGCCTTGCCAAACCGAGGTTCAAACCATCCTGACCTCACTCTATCTTCCTCAAAGACTAAAAATTTCACCACCCCATTCACAAAAGTCCTCTTTTTCCACTATCTGAGTTATAAATTCGGTTAGGTTTCCCAAAAAAACAATGGATAAAGCAAAGAAAAACAAATTTGACATCCATTTTTTGCTTTTCTCAGTCTGAAAAATCAAAACTTTTCTCTGCCTCACTCCCATTTTCCAGGACACCAAACACCCCATTTCATCAATTCAGCTTGGTTCCCTCCCAAAAACACAGAACAAGCAAACAAACAGAAATTTTCCCATGTCCAATTTTCCATTTTCCAGTCTTAAAAATCCAAACTTTTCACCGATTCTCTCCTATTTTCTACTACACTTAACGATATAAATACACACAAAGATCAAAGTAAGTAGAGCAGCACATACAAATATAGAAATACAGGAAAATATATATCGACGGTTGAGAGAAGAACTCACCCCAAAAGAGAATTGGTGAGCAGTGAAGCAGAGATCGCTTGGTGGCCTTGAAGCTGAGGATGGCAATGAGACACCTGAAAACGACATCGACATCCTTTGACCTCCTTGACCACAGCTCGGTTTTTAATGTCGTTTAAGCTTCTGTTCTGTGACTGTCTGTCCCCGAAGAAAAAAATAAAGGGGACGATTGTAACCAAACGTTTATGGTTTCGGATGCACCGGATAAAACGACTAGTGACTCTGTGGGGTTAATCGTACGGTTGATATATTTTGAGGACTTGGATTGTCTGACCTCCTTGTTCCATACCCTTTTCATGCCCTTTTATATTCTGTAGTCACGGTTAAGCTACGTTAACATTTTATATTAATTTTTTATAGAAATAATAAGATAAAAAGTAATGAAAATATAAAATGTTGACATGACTTAATCGTGATCACAGAAATAGAAAAGCATGGGAGTCTATGAGATGGGGATGGCAGACAATTCAAGTCCATATTTTGATGGGATGAACCCGGAAATGATTGGGCCAGGTGAGAAAATGGACGGCTGTGATGGGAGGGAGACTGTTAGATTTTGTCTGTACTACGTTATCTATCATTGTTGTCTACTTGTCTTGGGTACGTCATGTTCGCGTACTTCTGATTTGTCGTCTAGTTAAGACTAGGGGCTTTGTCGGTTTGTCCTTATCCGAAAAAAATAAAAGGAAAATGGGGGATTTGTCATGGATTTAGTTGAGCAGGAGTTGTTTGGGTTGGGCTGTAGGTTTCGACAATAAATTCCATAGGCACATTTGCACCCAATTTTCTCTTCGATGTCTTTCTTCAAAAAACGATTTTTGCACTCTTCTAATTCTATGAGTACATTTTATTTATTTAATTTATTTGAATTGAAAAAGTAAAAAAGAATTATGAACAAAAGTCGAAAGGAACGTGTAGAAAGATAAAAAAGTTGTGAAAATCATTTCTTTTATTTTCTAAATTGTTATAATAGGTCATGCGGTTGAGAGATTTTTTAATGTGAGCGGAACACGGGTGGTACATCACGTGTCATTATACAAATTGTGGGATATGTATGTTAAAAAGTTAATAACTTAAAAAAATACAATTTTCCACCACTTATATAAAAACACGTGGTGTACTATCCGTGTTCCGGTCACAATGAAAAATTTCTCCATGCGGTTAAAGAGAGAACTTATGAGATGTTTACATTGGTGACGTTTTAAGTTAATTATGTATTTTAATGTAAAAATACAAACACATAACAGTGCATAATTAATTTAAAATACGGATATCAAAAACTTTTAAATGTAATTAATTTTTGCATGAAGCAAAAGAGAAGTAGGAATTTGGTAACAAAATTATCACCAGTCATTCATTTTGATTACTCAATATTACAACATTGGACAAACACGTCATACATTTACTTTACAAATTATCACATGAAACAAGCTCATATGATGCACTCTCACAATCGTATTTTCACGTATTTATAACGTGATCAGTTATTATTTTTCTAATTGAAGTTGGTGCAATCAATTATTGTAAATCACATGTGTGAAAAGTTCTCAAAGATGCTAGGTGCTAGTCGGGCTGTGGATTGAGGCTTAGCGGCGCCTAAGCGAGACCTAGGTGGGTTTAAGTATATTTATTTATATCATATAAATAAGTGCATGTTTATACTTAAAAAAATACATCATTATATTGGGATACAAAATTGTAAAATAAAAGGACATATATATATATATATTGAACAAAAATAAAATAAAATGCAAATGAAATTTATTGATTTTTTTGTCGAAGTGAGAGTAGCGACCTAGCCAGGTGCCTAGACGGATCTAGTCTAGGTAGGGAAGACAGGCGCCTAGACGAATCAGGCCGACGCCGAAGGAGGTCGAGGTGCCATTTCTTAATTTTCAAATGCCTAGAGATTAATCGAGACGATGATCAGCCGTTTAACACCTGAGTGAGACCTAGGCGGCGCTAGATGAAGATTAAAAGAGTGATGTGTTATAATTTTCAATCATTTTCATGAGCTACAAACTTACATAATACATATTGGATGTGATACATTATTCCCCAAAACAGTTCGTAGTACAATAATTGGTGTTAGCAAAGAAGGAATCTTTGAGTTTAGCAACTAATTTTTCGACGGTAGGTCCAAAATTATCTCAATAACAACAATAAACGACAAATCTTTGGATAAACAAAGAGAGGTAGAACAAAAAGAAAGTTTCTTACCTAATCTAACAGTTGTCAAAAACCAATAAAGAATTTGTGCAAATATGTGGTGCATGGCATGGAGAGAGTTTCTGATGCAGGATGACTCAATCTTTATATAATGTAATAAATATATGTTAGTGGGTAGATTACGTGGGGTTAATATTAATGAGTTCATTAACTCTAGTAATGATGCATGTATCAGTAATTATTAAGAGGTGGTTAGAGTTTTTATAAATTATGAGTATTTTGTATTCTAGGGGGAATATTATGATGAATTGAATTGAAAATTGAGTGCAGTTTGAGAGAGTTTTCTCATTTTTGTTCTTGTTCTATCAACTCGGATATTCCAACGAAATTAACAAGGTATAGACACCTTAACCATCATTGGCCATTCTCGTGCAGAGAATCAACAACGTTCGTGTGATAAACTTCTTGGCATTCTTGGTGAATCAACAAGAGGTTTAGGACTTGTGAAATTCGGTATTGTCTTTGACAATCAACGAATCTGCAACAAAAAGTTACGCATTTCATGTGTTTTTGTTTTAACATTAATTCTCCATTTGAGGATCGGTATCCAGATTTATTAATCAACTGATTCGCGTTTTGATCGCTGCATTAGTTGGTATCAGAGCGTCAGCTTGATCCAAGGGTGACGTTGTATCAAGAGTAACAACACCAACATGTCGCAACTACCAATAAATGGAGGTCTTAATATAGATCTTCCTCCAATATTTGATCGTTGTTGTGAGGGTTGTGAAATTTGTGATGCAATTCCAAATCGATGGGACCTTGGAAATGTTGAGGCTACAACTTCAAGTTTTTCTTTGAAGATATGGAAGTCGAGTCCCATGGCTTGTTTCACATGTTGGATAGTTCTGAATTTGTCGATTTGATCGGGGTTGAAAGTTTCAAATTTTATTATTTGGTTGATATTGCAAGCATGATGAGGACAAATAAGAAGAAATTGTGCATTGCAAGATTGACTATGGAGTGTGAGCTTTGCGGTTCAAGAATATTCATGATTTCTAAATATTTGTTTGATTGGAGTGGAAAACCTCAGTTTCAAAGCCAACAATGGAAGCCGAATCATTATTCTTGGAAGATTTCAGAACAAGGAAGTCTGAATTCGAGGACGAATTCTTTCCAAACCAGTGAGAATGATGCAAGATGACTCAATCTTTAATTAATGTAATAAATATATGTTAGTGGGGGTAGATTAAGTGGGGTTAATATTAATGAGTTCATTAACTCTAGTAATGATACATGTATCAGTAATTATTAAGAAGGGGTTAGAGTTTTTATAAATTATGAGTATTTTGTATTCTAGGGGGAAGATTATGATGAATTGAATTGAAAATTGAGTGCAGTTTGAGAGAGTTTTCTCATTTTTGTTCTTGTTCTATCAACTCGGATATTCCAACGGAATTAACAAGGTATAGACACCCCAACGATCCTTGGCCATTCTTGTACAGAGAATCAATCATGCTTGTGTGATAAATTTCTTGGCATTCTTGGTGAATCAACAAGAGGTTTAGGACTTGTGAAATTTGGTATTGTCTTTGACAATCAACGAATCTACAAGAAAAAGTTACGCATTTCATGTGTTTTTGTTTTAACATTTATTCTCCATTTGAGGATCGGTATCTAGATTTATTAATCAATTGATTCACGTTTTGATCGCTGCATCAGTTTCAATGTATTCTGAATACGGACGCACATGTTATATGTCATAATATAAGTGAAAGAACGCTTAGAAAAAAAGGGTTTTTAGATTTTAGGACTTCAATAAGATTGTTTTTAGATTTTAACCTGAATGGTTATCAAAATCTAATATAAGTTCCTATTTTTAAAACTTACCATCTTTAAGTAATTATAACACATTTATTATTTATAAACTTATCATTCGAAAATTCTTTATCCATCCATAATTATGTTTTTTATTTTGTGCTCTAATCATATTAATAGATTAAAATTTATTCAAAATTCAAATTCTCATTATTAAAAAAATTCAAGAACAAAACAAAATCAATTTCTACATAACATTCGGTACCTTATTTTATTCATAGGTACGGAAGTATCAGTTTATAACTTTAGGTACCTTATATTACTTATAGGTACAAAAGTATCGGTTCGTAAGTTTCGGTAAGAATATATCGGTACATAACTTTCGGTACAAATATGTCGGTATAAATGTATCGGAACGTAACTATAGTATCTAACCATACATATGTACGTAATATGCATATACATATATATGGAGAAATTCACGCACAATGAAAAATATATGATAATATATGACTTTTCTTATTATGGGAACTTAATAATAACTATCAATGATAAATAACATTTTTATTATTTATGGGAATCAATATATAACCTACGAACAAAAAACTCAATAATTATTACAACATATTTAATATTAAAAAAATTACAATTAAATGCCAAGGAGGATTAGAATTAATTTTTAATGTTAGATAAGGTTTTATTCAAAAAGTAATCTTAGACAAGGATTATAATTGAATTTTCTGTAGAAAAAATTGTTCACTGCCTGCCTCCATTGCATACTATCCGAAGTCCTTCACTACCAAATATTTTAAGGAATTTTAACGAAATGCTTCATGTTCATTTTAACAAAAAATTATATTTTTACATTAAAAAGTTAATTCTGATGCTATTCACTTTACCTTTTATTTTGTCCTTATCTTTAAAGCGTAAAATTTTTAAACCATTTTCATTAGTTTTTCTAATATTTTAATCTCAATTAACAATAATTTCATCTATAATCATTTCTACTCTGTTTTTTGTTGTTTGATAGTGACCCTCCACTAACACGTTCCTCAATCTCTCTACCCTCTCTCTCTCTCTCTCTCTCCTCTAATCAATCTATTTAGAATCTTAGAGGGGTTGTAAATAAATCATCTTTGAGCAGATAAGACTGGTGGGTGA